GCAGTTTGAGTGACCCAGAGGCTTGTGGAAGTGGGGCTGGCGTGGGGTGGGAGAGTGCAGGCTGCTCTCACCTTTGGAGTTGTGCAGTATGCAGTGCAGCAGTGCAGGGCCCATGTCACGGGGCGGTGTGAGTGTGACTGGTCACACGGAGTGCAGTCCATAAGCCTCAGTGTCTTCATCTGCAATGTGAGACCTGGCACCCGACGGGTACACCAGTGTGTCCTCACGCATGCCTGCCACTCACCAAAATGTGGCCTCAGCTTCTGCCTCTCCCATAGGAAGGGCATCAGCACTGGAAATTGCCTCGTTTTATGTGGTTTGAACCTGACTGTCTCCCAGGTGGATGGGGCTCTGGGGCCCAGGCTTGGGGTTGTATTTTTGTTTTCAGACTCACCCACTCCATGCTTAGCATAACACTCGCACTTGATGTATGCAGTTATCTCTGCAAAGGGTGCAGAAGGAGTGGAGAATCCTAGAAGGGTCAAACACCACGAGTTGTGGGGTAGGTCTGTACCCCTCTTGAGTACTGCTTAGAGTAGAAGCAGCCCCAAGTTTAAAGCAAGATGGAAAGCTGTTTATTTCACAGTGGCTCCAACTCCCACCTTCCTGGTTGGGGAAGACAAGAGATTACTCAGAGGCTTCTCAGGGGGGTAGGATGGCATAGAATATTCAGGACCTGCCTGAGGCTTGTTTGCTATAAGAGGAGCCCTGTCCTGTCACCAGGGTCATGGAGGAAGCTGTGGCAGGTGGTGCTCAATCAAAAGGATTATTTGTGAACCAGGGTCACGTGACTCTTGTGAAAATAGTCTTTTCTATCTCCGAACATGGAGTCTGTTTCACCCTGTGGCAGGTTGCAGGGGGCCACAGAGGAATGGTGTGAATGGTGTGAATGGAGGAGATCAGGGCTTCATCCTCCTTTATCCCTCCCATTTACAGGAGCATTACAGCTGCCTTGACACTAAGAAAGCGGAAGGGGAAAGATGGCTTTGCAGCACCCTAGTTATTACCTGAAAAAAGAGCCTCATGGAGTATTTGTACTGTGCTCTTCTTTGGGGTCCTCTGAAGATTTTGTAAACTGCAGGGGCTGTGTCCATGGCATTTATGGCTGAAGGGGAGGAAGGTGGAGGTGACTTGGGCTCCTGCAGGAGTTGAACAATGAGCCCAGGAAGCACTTATGCGACTCGGGTGACACCTGTGTGGGTGCCAGGCCCTGTCTGGGGAGTCCCAGCTGCATGCACAGGCTACACCTCCAGGCCAAGGGTCAAGGGCCACCCCAGAAGGGGAAGGGGCTTCAAGCACGGGTCCAGGGTGGGGCCGGTGCCTGCCAGGCCCTGCAGCCCCTTTCTGGGACCTCAGTACAAAGATGGAACACGCCAGCAAGTCATTACCAAATAAATGGGCAAGCTGACAGTGCCTGACAAAACAGCCAAAGCTCTTCTTCTCTACATTTGGACATAGAAATTAAGTGAAAAAAGTGCTGAATTCGAGGGAACACAGTGCTGTTTTCGTAGAGTGCTTCAGATTATTGCTAACAAGACAGCTCAAGGTTAATTTTTAAATTGCAGACAGAGCTGTAGATATGCTTGAATTATAGGTGAATCAGAAAGCCACCTGCCCTGCCTTGAAGATGTCCACAAGGTGCAGGAGTGGACTGATGAGATGCCAAGATGCTTCTGCATAAATTCACATTCAAAATTAAATTTAGACAGACACAAAACTGATTTGCAACAAAAGTTAAATATTTTCAGAAAAGAAAAGCTTCTGCAAGAATCAGCAGCTCATCATGTACTATAGGAAGTATTTCACAATAATTTACCAGACATTTGCATCAATTTTTTGCCACCTATATGATATTTTTTTTCCCTTTGGTATCAGGGATCAAACTTGGAACCTTGTGCTTGAGAGGCAGGCAGTGGAGCCACTAAGCTAAATCCCCTGCCCATAATATTCTAAATAGCTACAGGAATCATTGCATCAGCAGGAAGATCCTTGTAAAATTAAAAATTATCAAAAGCCATTTGCCTTTGCCAAGAAAAACTGGCATCATTCTCATTTATACTTACTGAAAATGAAATTTTAAAAAATATAAATTTTTATTATCTAATAATGAATTTGCAGAAAAGTGGGCCATAAAAATATATATGGCTGATCAAGGTCTCACATTGTAAAGGCTTATTATTTATGGCATCGTATAAAGTTTTGACACAAAACACATTTTCACAGGTAATGTTATATTTTTAAAGGAAAAAAACTTTGACTTTTAGTATCTTTCTGATTTTTTTTTCTGCTTTCTGCGTAAATTGTTTACATGTCTGTCTGTCCTCTGACTACCTAACATGTGACAGAGAAGACAGGGGATGCAATGAGCACCATAAACATGCACATAGATACTGTGCAGAAGTGATGTTTTTTAAAAATAAGCAGAGCAAGGTACACGAATCCTGCAAATGTGGCAGATGTGAGGATGGACCTCATCACCCGAGGGTATAGGAAATAAAGAGAAAACAACTCTATAAAGTCCTTTCACTTCCTATAGGAAGTGGCTAATGTTTTTTGATGACTAAAGTTTGGCTGGCAGACAATATTCTCCCAAATAGGGATGCTTAACAGAAGAGGAAACGGAGACACATGAGGAGAAGGAAAGCTCTGGCCGTGGGGAAGCCAATGCATGCTGCACACTTCTCATAATTACACTTAATTCATATGTGCACACACACACACACACACACACACACGCACACACACACACAGCACCTTTCAGGAAGGAGCTATTGTCATCTCAATTTTACAAAGGATGAAGTTAATTCTGACGTTAAGTAGTTTTCCTTCCTTTACTTCATTGATTAGTAAGCAGCAATTGCCAAGGTGCTCATTTGGTGGCCTGGGGTGTTGAACACAGTCAGACCCACCTGCACCTGAAGTTCTTGGCTGTGACAAGGACCCTAAGCAAGGTGACAGTGGCCACCAGCAGCCAGTAACTGTCCCCTCCTGTTCAGGTGTCTGAACCTGAGCTACCAGCAGGCAGCAGGGCTCCTCAGTGTGAGGGCGGCAGGTCTTGCATGTGTGGGTGGCAGTCGTCGGTCTCCCAAAGACTCCAAAGCCCTCTGAGAAGCCACCCCAACACCCTGACTTGGACCCCAAGAGGAGCGGGGACAGTCACCCTTCTGTCCAGAATTCCAGCCCTGGAACTGAGCCTGCCCACTTTCCCCCTCCTCCTCCCTCTCCATCCTTTTTCTCGCAGGAGCCAGTCCTGCGATGCAGATTCCCAGGAGGACCGCCAGCAGCTGCCCCAAACTCCACAGGTCATGCCAAGAGCAGACGCAGGGCAGGAACCCGGGTCCTGTCCCCCGCTCATTGTGACGACAGTTCTATAGGCCGGTGGGGGAGACCCACATCTGAGTCATTCCGCAAACTCTTCTTCCTCTCTTGGAAAACGGGGATAACTCAGTTCCTCCTTCAGGCAAGTTTTTAACGGGAGGTTTGGCTACATCGGGTGGAGCAGTGGACATTGCCGCGAGCCTGCCGGTTACTGCCCATGTAAGGGCTCGCCTGAGCTCTGCCGCGGGCACCACCCCTGCCACCCAAGCCGCTGCTTTCTCCACATCCTGTTGTGTCCGACACATGGAGACTGTCTACCCTAAAGTTTGCTGGTTTCCTCATTTACGAAGTAAAAAGTCTTCTCCAAGTTTTACTTGTGAATAAATTACAGCATCTTACTTTTCCCAAGCAAACACCTTGTGTGTGTCTCTCGGTGTTGGGGAAGAAGAGTGATTTTGTATCCACTTCCAGCACTGTGGCCTCTTTTACCACGGAGGAAGGCGATCTACCCCACGCACTCAACCGTTCCCTCCGAGGAGGATGCAGGCAGTGAGGGTTTGTGTTCCCTGCTTTCCTCTTTGGATTTTACAACCCTCCCCTAATCAGACTGGAGGCTGAGTGCACGAACTGCAGCACAGACCGGATCCCTTCTCGCTGAACCCATTTCCTCTCCTTATCAGGGTAATATTTAATTCCCAGCCTCCTTGCAGTTCTTGGAGTCCACGTGACCATTTCCCAACCAATGGTTGTCGAGCACACCATGTGGCCCTGCCTTGCTGCCCCGACGTGTGCTGTACTCTCTCAGCAGCGCATGCCCAGAAAGCTTCCTCAGAAGCTGCGTATGGTGGGGAGGAGCCTTGGCCCGAGTTGTGCCTGGGAGAGCTCCTGGCTCATCAGTAGCACAGGGGGGGAAACCGGTCCTCTCGGAAGCATTACGTACTTGGAGTGTGTTGGAGCAGCGTCCAGTTTGGGCTGCACTAATCTGAAGAGCCTCTGGAGTCTTGGGGTGCACTGCTGACCCGCGGCTCTGCACCCCCCGACGCCCACTAACTGCTGACCTGCCCTCCTGTCCGCTCCGAGGACCCAGTGAAGGAGCCGGTTCTCATTTCTAAGGGGCCCCTGCCTGGCAGCTTCGGCTGTGCCCGGTCTGCAGGGCTCACCCATGTGTGTGCTGGCCCCGGGTCCAGGTCCCGGGCTGGGGGCGGAGGAGGCACTTGCGTTCTGGAGCTGCTGGAAAGCTGGCCTGGCACCTGCGCTGCGCGAGAACTTCTCACAAAGGCTGTGGGGTGCTTTTTGTTGGTCGCCTCTCTCCCCTTTGTCTCTCCTGGCGCAGCACAATGCATTCCAGTCTAAAGGGATTGAAGAGCGTGCGAACCAATGAAAAGGAGTTTGGGCAACAATGAGGTTATGGGGTTCTGGAGAAAGGCCCAGCGTCCGCGGAGTGGGTGAGGGCCCTCACCCAGCCCATCCCTGTTCTGAGAGCAGGGACACCCCAGCCCCTCCACCTCTCCTTGGGGCCCAGGTCCAGCTCCTGTTGAAATCCAGACCCCTGTGCAGGACGCTGTGCTGGACTCCATCAGTTTCCATCTCTGCTTCAAACAGAGGGGAGCAAAACAATTTATCCTCTCTTGGGCTGGAGCCTGCATGTGGGGAAATCTATTTTCGTACATGCTGAGCAGGATCTCCAGCCAGGACGAATCTGAGAAAAATCAAATAATAACAGCAGAAGAGTCCCTGAGGAGATGCCCCTTCCTCCCCGCATCCCCTCGAGAGATGCCTTCTTTTCTCTGTGTGTAGGAAAGCTGGCCCTGTGAGCAGCGTCCCCAGTACACAGCCAGGTTTGGGGTAAGCGGGGGAGGTGCTCAAGGGCGTGAAGAGCATCAGGCCACTTTCATGGGTAACACTCAAGGCCTACCCCGGGGCCTTCACTTTTGGTGTTCAGTTTCTATTCTCCCTTCCCGCTTTTCCGCGGAAACCCAGCTCTCTGTCAATGCCCCAGGAGAGCAGGAGCACAGAGAGAAAGGGAGTCACCAGGTCTTGATGCTACTTTGAAAGAGTCTTGGGCTTAGGCCTCCCAGAGATAAAGGCAGTGGTACTCACCGGTGTGGGGCACCGCTCTGGGACTGGCATGTTTAAAAATGGATCGCATCCTGGCAACAGCACTAGAGAGCAAGTGTGACCTCTGCAGGAAAGTAACTGAAGATCAACCCAAGGAGAATCCCACAGGCCATTTACCCGGAGCCTACGACCCCAGGTACTGGCCGTGACTTCTGTGCTGTGCAGTTCTGGAGGCGGGCGGGGTGGCAGAAAAGAGTCACAGCTGTAGAGTGAGGAGCAGCTGCTGCATGCCAGGGTGCTGTGCTCATGGGAGCTGCGGGAGCAGCTGGGAGGACTGACTGTGTCTTCTGGGCTTGGTTGGGGAGCATGCCTAGATGCTTCTGGTTGGGGCTGCATAGGAAGTGGGGCAAAACATAGAGATGTTGGCAGGCACAGGTGCTAGGCACCTTCATGTTGTTGGCACAAAACACCTGGCATACACAGCTTAAAGGAGGAGAGGTTTATTTTGGCACATGGTTTCCGAGGATTCAGTCCATGGTCCACTGGCTCCAAGGCAGGAACATCGTGGTAGAAGGGCGTTGGGGAGAAATCTGCTTATCTGATGGCATCCAGGAAGGAGGAAGGAAGGGAGGGAGATGGAAAGGGAGAGAGAAAGGAAAGAGAGGGAGAGGGAGAAGTAGTGAGAGAAAAGCAGGGTGGAGCGCATACCCTTCCAAAGCCTGCCCCTCTGGCCCACTTCCTTCACCTTGACCCCACCTCCTGACAGCACATCGGCTGTGAACTCAACGCTGGGTGAACCCACTGATGAAGCTGGTGCCCTCCCTGCCCCCTCTTCTGGTGTCTCTGCACCCAGCCAGGTGCGTCAAGAGCAGCTTCACCTGGACCATGCTCCAGCGGTTCTGAGCAGCTGGCTACCCAGGTGATGCGTGGTCCCTGAGGTGACAGTGAGTTCTAATATCTTATTGGCCATTGTCCATTTATATGGCTGGCTTTTCATCTGGCATCCTCAGGCACAAAGAGGAAAGGGACAGAGAAGGAGGCATGTTCAGGCCTGTGCAGCAGAGAGCTAGTGGGCTGTGATGCCAGCATGAGCTTCCTGCGTGCACCAGGCCCTTGGCCACTGCCTGCTGCACCTCTGGGCGCATCCAGACCAGGTGCCTGCGCTCACTTGACCTGGTATTGTCTGTGCAGCCTCTGCTTTGCTAAATAATCATCACAGTGCACAGGATGCTCTGATAGGGGCCGGATTGCTTGGAAGAACCGAGGAGCTCATCCCAGCCCTCACAAGGGTCTGGGTCTGTTTGGCAGAGGCGGGTGCCTCTCTGGCTCAATCCTGTCTGGTGACCCAGCGTGCAGGCCACAGGCATCCTGCCTGCTACGTCTGTGCAGAGCACCCACTGCCTGCCGGCGTCTCTCACTCAGCAGCCTCCCCCCGCCACCCAACTTTTCACACCTGCAGCCCCAACAGTGCGTGCAGCAGCACTGGAGTCTGGCAAAGCACTGGAGTCTGGCAAAGCACTGGGCTGCCGCAAGCGCAGCCCCATGCATATTGGGGCCTTCAGCCTCAGATCGGGCATCTCAGTTGAGCAGCACATTTTTTAAGTTTGTTGACAACAAAATAGTTGTAAAGGCAACTCTGAATGTGCTTTGGCTCTGCTTTTTTGTGTATTTCCTCAATCAGGTCTTCCTAAGCATCAGTAAACATGAAGCCTTCTGACTGGGCCAATCCACCCTCAGCGTGCTGGCCGGAGGGAGGCTCCAGGGTGGGCGCAGGCCGCGTCCGTCCTCTGTGTGCAGAGCGGTATGGTCTGGAGGGGCGCTGCCCGGGCCCCAATCTCTGTTCAGAGCCAGTGCCGAGAGCACGCGGTGATTCTCGACTCTGCAAGGCTTGCCCGTCTGTGTGGGCTCATTACCCTGGCGTGACCTGCCACCCAGCAGGCCATAGTCCTCAAAGAGCTGGGGTGGGGATGGCAGCAAAGAGCTCTGGAGCAGCTGCCTGTGAGCGTAGGCGGCTCCATCCTGGCTCTGGACAGGACAGGGGGGCATGTGCTACTCTCCTGTGCCCCGCAGGATGGCAGCACCCGTCTAACTCAGGCCCCATGGGTGGTGCACGAGACCAGATGTAGAGGAGGTGGAGGATGTTAAACGATGATAAAGTGAAGTTTCCCTGGGCCTGCAGGGAAGCAGAACTCCCTGACTTTCCAGCATCCCCTCAGGAAATTAGCATGCACCAGTCCCAGTGTGCAGACTGCACTCGCACTCTAAACTCTAAACTCAAAGGGCGCTGCTCCTCCATTTGGGGACACCTCCCCCAGTGGCTGAGCCCTCTTTGGAGCAGGCCCTTTCTGGCTGTGTCCGCTTATCTGCCCTGTCTCCGAGTGCGAGTGCTGCGTGATGCCTGGTTCTGAGGTCACTTTCTGCTTGCTGCAGAGATGCAGAGATGGTGTGTGTGTGTGTGTGTGTGTGTGTGTGTGTGTGTGTGTGTGTGTGTTTTCCCCTCTGGACAGAGTACATGACCACGAGTTCCTGGACGGTGCCTGCCTGGCCCTGGCGGGCTGAGGCTGCTTCCAGTCTTGGCATCTTGAGAGCAAGCAAATCTCTGTGACCTCCCTCCAGGGCCAGCCTAGCATTTAATGAGCCTGTGCCATCCCCGATCTTTGTATGGGCAGGAGATCTGCATTTAATTATTTCCTCATCGAGGATCAGTACTCCAGCTGATTGAATGGGGCTGCAGTGTCTCACTGCCAAACCCACTGGCCCAGCCAGGGGAACTCGGGAGCCTGAGAAACCTGTAGGATTTGTCAAAGCCTCGGTGGCTGGACCAGCTCACGTGAACCCCAGGTGCCGCATGGCACCTTCCAAATGTCCTCTGGCCAGGTTTGCCCATGCTCTCTGACTCGAGCTGCACGATTTCAGAGCGCTGTAGCAACTGTTTGATTCGTCTCTGTCCTTACTCCCGCTGTCCCAGACCTGCTTCTGGGAGTGGGGATCTGTGTGAACATGTCATTCTGTGAATTGGATTCAGTCTCCAGCCCTGTTGTGAAGGGGCTAGAACGGAACTCGATTGGAATTGAATTATGCCTCCCTCCAGGAACACGATACTAAAGAGAAAGAAAACCCAGCTCCCAATGGCTACGAGAAGCGTGGAATCTAACTAGGAGCCGTCGGTACAGGGACAGCTTCCTCTCCTCTTGGTGGGTAAGGTTTATCTGTGATGGGCACATTGTGTGTGTGTGTGTGTGTGTGAGAGAGAGAGAGAGAGAGAGAGAGAGAAAGAGAGAGAGAGAGAGAGAGAGAGAGAGCGAGGAGAGAATTGTACCCACTTCACACATGCCCCTCAGCTCTGGGTTCCCTTGCTAGTGCAGTGCAGCTTAACCCTTCCTGACTATAACCTGAACACATGCACACAAGTACCCGAGGCAAACAGTCAGTGACATTTTTTTTTTTTTTTTGGTACTGGGGATCAAACTTGGGTCCTTGCACTTGCGAGGCAGGAGGTGGAACCACTGAGCCAAATCCCCGGCCCAATGACACTTTGTCTTAATCTTTGTTTCTCAATGAAATGTCTCATAGATTTTCCATTGGTTTGTTGATGCGTTCAAACACAATTCATAAAGGACTACTGAGCGAGCTCATGGCAGGTGACTGACAGTACAGTAAATGGAAACCAAGGGTGGCTCCTGTTGAGCTACCGAATGGTGTAAGCGTGACTCTGCACAGGCTCTTGTCACTGGCTGTGCAAACGCCATCACTATGGGTCTTGCTTGAGTTGTGCTCATTTTTTATTCTTAAGTAAAAGAAAGCATGAAGATAAAGCTGTTATAACTAAGATCTCCCCAGCCTGAGGTTCACACAGAGTGGTTGCTCTGGCCCTTGACCTGTTCAGATAGGAGACAAACTGACAGCTCACGCACGCCCGGGACTGGGCTGGCCTTCCTGGACTGCGCTTTGGAGAAAGCCGCTCGGCTCAGTGCACCCGCTTAGTCTGGGATCCAGAAAGCAGGTTCTGTGGGTTAGTTGTCAATGAAGAGTTTCTTTAAAAATGCAGTTGCTTTGCTATTAACACTGAATGTTAGGAAACACAATGTACTCAGGGTGTGAAGGGGTCCGGAAGCCCTTAGGAAGTGGGCATTGAACCTTTAAATTACCTTAGAGTTGTGGTAGCTACCCAGGCACGGAGTGTGGGGTCTGAAGACTCAGTGGGACCAGTGACTCGTGAGCACAGCTTCTGCTGCACCCCAAGAGTGTGCTCTCTCTCTCTCTCTCTCTCTCTCTTCTCTCTCCCCCTCCCTCCCCCCTCTCTTCTGTTGGCTTTACCTTTTTTATTTTCATTGAGTTTATTGGTACTTTCTAGGTTTACAGCATAGTTACATTCATCATTGGGATCTTGTACCTTTACATGACAGGTCTTGGTTCTCATTTTTTCCCCATACCCTGACCTCCCTTCATCCCCTCCACCCTCCCCTATTTACAAAGACTTTGTTTCCATTTTTTCCTGTTCTCATCTTTTTTCTTTGCCCTTATTTCCTTTCTCCTACCCTTCCCACTTCCCCTATGCCTTTAGCCCTTGTCTTCCTATTTCATTGTCAGTTATACAATTTGGATCTTATTTACACTTTCAGTTGCTCACACCGGAGAAGCTATTCGGTATTTACACATATGTGTGTCTTATTCTTTTGTTTGCTTGGGGACTGATTCCTGCTCTGCAGAGCTGCATGGGAGGTGTGAGGACGAGGCCTGACTCTCCGACGGGGATTGTGGGCTCAGGGGTCCTCTCCTGTGCTTCTGGGGTTCATTTGTCCCAGAACTCTGCGTGTCGGTGGCCTGGAGCCCATCACAGACAAGGCTGTCATCAGAGCCCCGGATTCACTCCCCACCCTGTCTTCAGTTGACCCCGTCACACGGGCACAGGGATACACCCAGTGTGACAGTCACCACAGTGCAGCACTTACTCAGTTCGTAGCTAGGAAGGCTCCTGTTTCGGTGACTCTGTGCACTGCAGTCTCATGATTCTGTGTGAGTGTGCGTGCGTTGGAGCATCTTCCTAAGCACACTCTCCATCCTACTGGCCATGACACCTGAAAGTAAATAAAACCAAACAGTGAATAAATCAGCAACATGTAATCTACCCAGCAAACTGCAGGCTTCAGCACTGGGACCCACAATGTCCCTCTCCGACTAGCTCCGACCTGGTTGATTGGGACCGGACTTGTGGGAACTTCATTCTTTCCTGTCTTCAGGAATGAAGAGTCGGGTGTGGTCCAGGGAAGACTCACCTGCCCTCTGCACTCTGGGCTTGGTTTCCTCGATCCCTCCAGCCTCCCGCCTGCAACAGGCTGTGTCTCCTTGACCCAAGGACACCCGCCCTGTCACCTTATGGTCACACTTTCTCGGACATGTTGCTGTCAAACAAGGTCTTCCTTTGTGGTCTGTGGACAGAATAAAGCTGATAGCTCTGTTTTATTTTGTGTACACATGTTAAAAACACACACAACTATTTTTAACAAGGGAATTTCACATTAAAGTAGGTTTTTTGTGTTCATTTTATAAAAAATCAAAATAGTGAGCCCTCCTGTAACCTTACCACTCTGAGGCTGAGGCAGGAGGATCTCAAGTTTGTACCAGCCTGGGAAACTTACTGATTTAGTGACACCATGTCTCAAAGCAAAATAATAATAGCAATAATAATGATAATAATAACAATAATAATATAAAAAGTGCTAGGATGTTCTCTGAGTTGGCAAGCCCTTCTGTGCAGCGAAGCCTGTGGGTCCAAGTACCAGAGCATGGAGCCAGAGCCGTCCTATGAATTCTCCCCAGTCCTTAGAAACAGTAGAAGGGAGGACCCCAAGGTGGAGCTGCTTCATGGGCCCAGGCTGGCTGGGAGCTGGGGTCCACTTCACCTCCCTGCTCAGAGGCCCTGCCAGGGTTTCCACCTCTGGTTCGCAGCAGGGAGCAGGAGAGGGTTGCCCAATTAAAGAAATAAACTAAATAAATAAGCAAGTGTGCTTCTTCCACTGCAGGAGACAGTGGCTGTGAGGCCAGACAAAGCGCCTGCCAGCCCTGCTTGTTTCTCCAGCACAGGAGTTTGCAGCTCTAGTCAAAAATAGCTTCCCATTCACCAGCACTCTGCTGTCCACAAAGACGCGTTTTCAGGGGGAATTTGCATCTCCGAGCCCAGGCATGGGGCCGAGGAGGAGACAATGGCCGGCTCAGAGCCAGCGGTGTCTGCATCTCCTTTTCTCCTTTCTTATCTCCACCCTGCCTCTGTCTCTCCTTCCAGACGTGCTGGCTCCTCGGGCTTTGGCTGGGAGTAAATCTGCGCAGTGGGGCAGGGAGCCCAGGCTGTGGGGCGCTGGGGACCCAGGTCCAGGAGGGTGCATGGGGAGGGGAGATGCTCTGGGGTGGGGGGTGCTGAGGACAGATTACAAGCTGGGCACAGCAGGGGTTTGTGGGTGTCCCACTGCACAACCCCTCTAAATTTCCAGAGCCAAGAACAGAGGCAAGAAAAGCTGGGCTGCAAACCAAAGAGGGAGACACTGGCTCTGGGCTCCCCATGGGCCTGTTCCCACATTGGAATGCCAAGGGGCGTTTGCAGATCTGGCTTCCACCGTGACAGACACCTGTCCAGGCCTCTCCCCCCTCACAGAGGCCTTGAACCCTGGAATTTCTGCCCCTCATGCAGCACATCCGGGGCAGGTGAGTGAAGATTTGGTTCAGGATTCTAATTCCCAGCTTGTGTGTGGGGCATCCTTCCTGGGCTCCTGGCCCTGTCACCTGTCAGCTGCCAGCCGACCACAGGGCTCAGGGCACCATGCTCTGTCAGACTGCGGTCTCACATAGGGCAGTTTCAGACCTGTCCTTTGCAATGATGTTAAACACTGGTCTATATTATTTCCACATGTTAAGGTAATACTTAAGCAAAGAATTCCAGAAGCACCTTCCTGAGAGGTGGTTTCACTTGGAGTAGAGGGAGTAGGGAATCTTGGCTCCGGAAGTGGATGTTGCTTCCCAGCGTGGGGTCCCCTCATTGGTGCCCCCTGGCCTCTGTCCTCTGTCTCCTGTCCTCCCCGTGGGCCCCTTCCCTCCCAGCCTCTCCTCTGAGATCACCGAGGACAGCAGCACTGACAGCAGGCCCAGGATGCAGCAGTGATTTTCTCTCACTTCCTGACAACCTCATCAAACTTGAGATTCGAATTTCATTGGCTGAGGCTGAGGCCTCTGGCCCCACCGGCCCCCTAAGCTGGGAATGAGGGGTGTAGACTGCCAGGAAGGCTTTCCGCAGCCCTCCCATGTGGAGAAATGTCAGCCACAGAGACAGCAAGGGCCTCGACAGTCAAACAGAGCCATAGGTAGCGGACTGCTCCTTCAAGGCGTACAGGACAGACTCTGCTGTTGGGAACTGGAGCTCTTTCAGGGAAGGAGGCAGACCTGGCAGGCTTCCCCAGAGCTGGAGGAGGGGGTGAGCACACCCTACTTCCTAATTCCCTTAGGGCAAATTCAGAAGCAGCCAATGGACTACCCTGTAAACATATTTTCAGACTGGGCTTGCAGTTTTGCTTGGTTGGAAGGCTGAAGATGGTTTACAGCCTTGGGAAACCCAGCCTGCTCCTCCCTTCACTCAGTCTTTCTCCTCACCTTGTCTCTTCATACCCAGATCTCTCTCCTCACAGTGGCAAGGTGGCTGCTGCAGCCCTGGAAATTGTGCTTCACAAGGTATCACCCAAATTCAAGTAGAACAGGGACGGGCAAGGGTGCTACTTACACATCTCCTAATTCTTATCATGTGGTGAGCAAAACATCTCCCAGGAGCAACAAGAAGGTGCCGCTTTATGTCTGTTTGAGTAGAACTGTGCCCAAGCAAAGCTGTGCTGCTCTTGTTTCCGGACTAATTCTACTCTGCTCAGCCTAAGGACTTTGGCGAGCTCAGACTTGGGACTCAGAGCAGCAGGGAGCCTCCCCAGGGGTGAGCCGGGCCCTGTGTGTGCCTAGGCAGGTGTGGTTCAGCCTGGCACCTCACTCTCTGCGCACCTGAGTGTGAGCACAGCCTGTGTGGATGGGCAGCCAGGCCCTGAGTGCTAAGCCGCCCCGCAGGACGCCAGCGACAAGCGGGGTGCCTCCTCCGTGTTAATTCAGGCCCTAGGCTCTGCTGCTCCGAGGGGGGCCTTGCTTGGTCACCTGTCGCCTCCCTGGGCGGCTGACCCCAGTCAGCTTTCCCGTCACCCACGTGAGCTGCTCCACCATGTGTTAGGGGCTCACCATGTGTTAGGGGCTCGGGCTCTGCTGCTGTCAGCAGTAACCCTCCTTGTCCACCGCCCCTTGTGGAAGGAAGAGGGGACAGATGAGGATTTACTCAGGTTGCCGTGGCGTGGGGGACTCTGCTGGGGAAGATCAAGGTGAAGCCCTAGGCGGTGCTGAGCCCCAGCGCCCAGAACTTCCTTTTGGGCTCTAACTGGTGAGGTGAAGTGGCACTGAGGGCTGTCCTCTCACCCCTGGGGACCCGAGAGCAGGGCTGCTGCCGCCCCACGACGCCACCAGGTGGCGATGGTCGCCTTCGCCGGGGCCTGAGCGCCACCTCCGGTCTGCTGTTGGCTCTCTTGTCATCAGGGGTATCCAGGGTTAGGAATGTTGTTAGGGATGGAAGGAAAGGTGGGAGTATGTTATGGTGGATGGTGGACAGGAGCCCGCAGAGGTGTAGGAGCTTTACCCCTTCTTCCTCGAACGCCCTCGTCCAACATCTCTGAGGCCTCTGCTCTGCCAGGCAGGAGCCCCCACTTGAACTCCCAGACCCGGCCCTGTGCTTTATTCCTTTCCAGGGCGAGTGCCAGCAACCCCGACTTCAGAAGCCACTGTGACTATCGAGGAAACTGGACTCAGTGTCACAGAACCGTGTGTCTAAGAACTGTGTCTAACAGAGATGTTTCCTTTTTGTAGAAGGAGCGTTGCCATCTGGTGCCCTCATTAGGCCCAACTGTGACCCCAAAGGTCCTGAGTGTGGAGGTGGCCTTGTTTGGAAGTAGCTTCCTTGTGGGTGCTGGGACCTGAGTGTTTGTCCCCAGCCTGGTTCCCATGCTGCTGTTTAAATCCCCACTGGGTGGGAAACTGTGTGGAGGGGCCGCCCGGTGTTGCCCTTGTGACTGGGACTGGCTCCCCGGTGGGGAGTGGAGGCCGCTGTGCCCAGCAGCCCCTCCACCATGGACTTCTGGCCTGAGCAGTGTGAGAAACCACCACTGAGCTTTGAGCCTCCAGCCCACGGTGCTCAGAGGAAGCCCTGACCCGAGGCAGCTGCACTACGGGTGTCTGGACAGAGGCGGAGTACACACAAGGGCAGCCCTTGAGGACTGGGGACACGGGCGTGGGCACTGAGCCACAGGGCCGGAGAGAGGCTGGACGTGTCCCTTCCACAGCATGGACCCTGGCTCTGTGTCACCTGGACCCCGACTTCTGGCCTCTAGGACTGGAAGGAGGGACAGACTTCTGCCTATGTTGACACAGCACACCGAAATGCATTCCTCCCAGCTTGTCTGTCTTCTGTCTTGGCTTCAATGGAAGAAAATACTCCTCCCCTGCTCCTCCCCCTGGTTCTGATCCCCCCAACTCACAGGTCCAAGACATTGGCACTGTCCTCCAACGTGGGTCCCCAGAGCCATAAGAATCGGCCCAGAAGGAAGGCGGGTCAGGGCAGGACCCCAGGAAGTGTCAGGCGAGGGCCCTGCGCAGAGCCCAGGGGAGAGGGTCTAGGCACCTCAGTGACACAGGCGCCTCTGAGGCAGGTCTTCCTGGGGGCTGAGAGCTAAGGCTGTTGCTGCTGGAGGAAAGCACGCTTCTCTCTCTGGATCAAGGGGAGGAAAGTCGGATTTAACCAACAGTTCACCATAGTGTCCCTCTCTGGACACCCACAGACGCCTGCTGTTCTCCAGTCTTCTGCACCCATCACTCTGGCTTCCTGCAGTTGCTGTGATTTCTAACTAGACCCAGAGGCTGTGGCAACACAGGACACAGGATTCTGTGTCTGTGCTGCTTGGTCCAGCAGAGGGTCAAATCCTGGAAGTCTATTCCTTGACAGGCACAGGGGCTGAAAGCGTGCGATCAGG